CTTCCTAGGTTTCCCCCTTGACTCGTCTTCTCGGCAGTTCTACCACGGGCCTTCTCATCGATTCTTTCACTCTTGCGACGTCAGTTTTGATGAGTCCGTCTCCTTCTACCACCGCTTTCCCCACCGTGGTCCCCAAGTCACCCCCCCCCCAGTTCCTGGTGCCCCCCCCTCCCCTGGTCGACCCTGTTCCCCCCCCTCCCCGCCCTGCCCCGTCTGGTGTATCTCACGTCACCCCCCTCCCGTCGGTTGTCCCTGTCGAGGAGTCCGCTGACTCTCGTGGCTCAGCGGAGTCTCTTCCCCTGCTCGTCCCTGCCCCTGTCTCCCCTCCCCTGTCGCCGCCGTTGCTGTCCCAGCCGCAGCCGCTTCCGACGCTGTCGCCGCCGCCGTCGTCACCACCGCTAAGGTTCGTGCGTTCTTGGGGTGCTGGGGAGCGGGCCGGAGCTGGTTCTGGAGCGGGCTCTGGGGGTGCTAGCATGGGGCTTCTCGGAGGGAGCCGTGTTGTCGCTAGAGGTTCTGGTGTTGAAGTCGGGCAGCAGTCGCAGCCGTCGCCGCCGGTGTAAGTGCCATCTCGTGGAGGTCCACCCGCTCCTCGTCTGTTGCCCAGTCTAGATGTGAGGCTGAGATCTACGAAGGTGCCATGATGGCATAGTAGCTCCGTTGGCTAACCTTCTTGCTCATCGACTTGGGTGAGCGGCCTAGTTCTGCCCCGGTTCTGTACGCTGACAACAGGGACGTGATCCTCCTTTGTCAGGAGCCATGAATTGAGGGCAGAGCAAAGCACATCCAGCTGCGGTACTTCCTCCTGCGTGAGCTGCAGTAGCGTCGCTAGGCTCGTGTAGTACACTTGGCCTCAGGTGCAAACACAGCTGATATCTTTACTAAGTCGCTTGCGCCTAAAGACCATCAGCGGCACTGTGTACAGCTAGGTCTCATTCCTGTAGCCTCTCACTTGCTAGGACCTTGATTGTGTACAGACCTTTATATATATACTACCCTGACTGGCCTTGTGGCCTCTTCATAGTGGCTGGACTAGTAGTGCCACCTTGGTCTTGCTCTTGCCTTTTCTGTACTTGTTTGACTGGTCTTTAGACCCATGCCTCAGAGGCTGGACTAGTAGTGCCATCCTGAGCTGCTTCTCTCTCACCAAGCACTGCCCCTAACCAATCTAGGGGGTGTGTCAAACATATCTTATATGTTGTTATAGACTACATAGGGTTGTGCCTTAGGGAGTACAACCCATTAGGTTATATTCCCTTGTATGTCACTGTTCTAGTCATTCGTTTCACTTTGATACATCGTTCATGGGGCTTTGCTAGGAGGACGCATGCCAATGGTCCGGGCAGGGCACACAGACGCTTCGTGGGCGGACGACGCTGAGACGCTCAGGTCCTCCTAGGGCTACTGCTTCATCCTTGGTGCAGGTGCCATCTCGTAGAGGTCCACATGGTCGTCGTCTGTTGCACAATCTAGCTGTGAGGCTAAGATCTACGCTGGTGCCATGGCGGCACAGGAGCTCCGCTGGCTGAATTTCTCGCTCACAAACCTAGGTGAGTGGCCTAGCTCTGCCCTGGTCCTGTATGCGGTAATCAGGGCCATGATCAGGGCTGACGTTTCAAAAAAACCCCCCCTGAGCTGTCGAATAAAAAAAAACGTTTACCCTGAGGGCTCAGGTTTCAAAAATTGCCTACCCTGATTTGTAAGGGTTCAGAAATCTGGAACCCTGAAAATCCCAGGGTTCACCGAGCGCGTTCAGGGTTGCCTTCAACACGAGGGGGGAATAAAAAATGGGGGGAAAAAGGGGAGGGAATCAAACCGAGGGGAGGGGGAGAGCGAAACGGAGGGGAAGGGGGAGGATGGAAACATAGGGGAAGAGAGGAAGCGAAACGGGGAGGGAAAAAGTGGGGGTTAGGGGGTGGGGGAAGTTCGAAATACAGTCGAGGAATGGGAGAAGCGAAACGGAGGGGAAGGGGAGATCGAAACGGAGGGGAAGGGGGGATCAAAACGGAGGGGAAGGGGGGATCGAAACGGAGGGGAAGGGGGGATCGAAACGGAGGGGAAGGGGGGATCGAAACGGAGGGGAAGGGGGGATCGAAACGGAGGGGAAGGGGGGATCGAAACGGAGGGGAGGGGGAGTCGAAACCAAGGAAGAAAGGGGGAGGGAATCAAAACCAAGATGCGAGGGGCGAAACGGAGGGGAGATGGGGGAATCGAAATGGAGGGGAGGGGGGAAACGAAACGGAGGGGGAGTGGGGGGAGCGAAAATGGAGGGGAGGGAAGAATCGAAGTGGATTGAGGGGGGAAGCTGGGTAATAGGGCGGTCGGAGAAAATTCGCGCCCTAGCAGCGCCCCGGCTGGGAGATCTTGGACGTTGATCAATGTGACCATCTAACGGTTTAAGTATGTCGAAACGATCGCAATCGATCTTGACCGTTACATTTTCATAGACTTAGCTAATTTTTGTGGGTTGTTGTTAGTGTGTAGGGGGGATGTCTGTACGACACATGACTTAGCCGATTTTTGTGGGTTGCTTGGTGTGTGAGGGAATGTTTGAGGACTTCACCAATTTTTGTAGGTTGTTGCGTGTGGGGGGGAATGTCTCTGGAGATTGGGGACTTCGCCTAAATTTCCGCATTGTGAGCCACATGGATGTCGCACTCAGGGTTCGTACGCGTTACTCCCTGAAAACTCAGTGTTGGGATAACGCAAACCCTGAAATTCTCAGTGTTCACAGACATACAACCCTGAAGAGGTTAGGGTTCAAAAAAGCCCAACCCTGAAAATTAAGGGTTGGCCAAAAAAATACCCTGTGAAATCAGGGAATCAGGGTAAAATACCCTGATAACGACAGGCCTGGCCATGATCCTCCTATGCCAGGAACCTCGACTGGAGGGCAGAGTGAAGCACATCCAGCAGCGGTACTGTTAAAATTATATAAGTTATAATTTAATATAGGCTTGGTAGGTTGTTACTGAACCTTTCTGTAGGGGGTACAAACCCCTCCTTGTACTCCCTTCTCTTCCTAATCCAACTCTCTTTCTTCTCGACTTTCCTCCTACTCCTAGATCCGTTTTTCCTAGCGCCGTTCCATGGCGGCCTTGCTCCTATCCTAGCTAAGCTAGTGTCCTAACTTTAGGGACCTAGCATCCTAAGTTCTTAACAGGTACTTCCTCCACCGCGAGCTACTGCAGCGACGCCAGGCCCGCGAAGTACACTTGACTTCCGGTGCCAACACAACTGATATCTTTGCTATGGCGCTTGCGCCTAAAGATGATCAGTGGCACTGTGTACAGCTTGGTCTGGTTCCAATAGCTCCTCAATTGCTAGGATCTTGATTGTGTACTTCTCTTTTATGTATTCTCCTGACTGGCCTTGTGGCTTCAGTTCCAGTGGCCGGATCAGTAGTGCCGCCCTGGTTTGCTCTTGTCTAGTTTGTACTCTTTGTTAAAATTATATAAGTTATAATTTAATATAGGCTTGGTAGGTTGTTACTGAACCTTTCTGTAGGGGGTACAAACCCCTCCTTGTACTCCCCTCTCTTCCTATTCGCACCCTTCTTTCTCGTCACTTTTGCCTACCCCTAGATAAACTTCTCCTCACGATATTCCATGGCGTCACTTCTAGTATCCTAGCCTACCTAGCCTCCTAAGTTTAAGAGGCTCGTGTCCTAAGTTTCTAAGATGGTATCAGAGCCGGTCGTGTCCACCGGACCCTCTCCCTACGTACCCGTTGCGTACTCCTGCTGCATTCGCAGCCTTCGCGGTTTTCTGCCTGCCTGCCGTCGCGACGCCAGGATGTCGCGTCGGCCCCTTGTTACCTGCCGTCGCGGCACCAAGGTGTCGCGACGGCCCCTGGTTGCCCGCCGTCGCGGCACCAAGGTGTCGCGACGGCCTTTCGTTGCCTGCCGTCGCGGCGCCAAGGTGTCGCGACGGCCCCTTGGTGCAGCCGTCGCCCGTCCGCCTCACCGCTGCGACATTGACGGTGCGCTGCGGCGGCGTCTACGGCAGCCGACGGCATCGTCGGGCTGCGGCCGGCCGAGCGACATCTGTGGCGTCGCCGGGCCTGCCGCCCGCTCGCCAGCCACGGGCGTCCCTCAGGACGACGTCCTCCCGCCAGTAAGCGCCGCGCCATTTATGGCGCGTCGCTGAAGACTCGCCCCGCCCCCCCCCCCCCCCCCCCCATTCTCCCTTCCCCCTGCGTCTTCCCCTCCTCCTGTCGCAGCTGCTGTCTTCTGCCCGGACGTTGCCACATCACCGAGAGCCCTCAGCCGCGGCGGTCGCCGCCTGTTGTCGGCGACCCAGCCGCCTTGAGCCAGAGCTCCGCCGCTGCTTGTCGCTGACCCGCCCAGACGCCGTAGGCTGCCTCGTGTACGGGGGTGTGTCAACGCTTTGCACGAGGGTCAGATACCCGGCTAAGCACGAGCTTGAGGGTGTGCGGGGTTAGGGGGTGGGTTGGGTGGGTGTGCGACTACCAAGCCTAGGGGGTGTGTTAAAATTATATAAGTTATAATTTAATATAGGCTTGGTAGGTTGTTACTGAACCTTTCTGTAGGGGGTACAAACCCCTCCTTCCTTGTACTCCCCTCTCTTCCTATTCGCACCCTTCTTTCTCGTCACTTTTGCCTACCCCTAGATAAACTTCTCCTCACGATATTCCATGGCGTCACTTCTAGTATCCTAGCCTACCTAGCCTCCTAAGTTTAAGAGGCTCGTGTCCTAAGTTTCTAAGACTCTTCTGACACGTCTTCTGATCTTTGCCTCAGAGGTTGGACTAGTAGTGCCACCCTGGGATGCTTGTCTCTTGCCAGGTACTACCCCTTATCTAGCCTACGGGGTGTGTCAAACATATATGCATATGTTATTATAGGCTAGATAGGTGCATGCTCTTAGAGAGTTATCCTCACTAGCACAAAGTTACCCTGTTCCCTCCATCCTAGTCAATGCGGTATTCTAAGATGCGGGTTATAAGATCCTGAACGAAACCTAAGCCAAGTCAGGAGCCAGACATTTGGGAGTCGTCTATTCCATTCACTTACAAACGCCTACAAGCTTACGCACTTCGCATTCTTGCACCATAGATGATCTGGTGCGGGGCCAATTACCAGCATTAGCATGATATGATTGTAAGAACAAGCCAGCCTTCATTTTCAGATGGGTCTGGTCTCTAGAGGGTGCCTTCTTGCATCACATAGTCGAGAAGAGCCTCAAGCATAGTCCACAGAACGAGGGTTTTGCGCTCCACCCACCCACCCACCACTTGTCGTGCATGTCATCCCCCCTCTTTATGCGAGAAGGGGGTTCTGAATGAGGCTGGAACCTGTTGGAACCTGTTGGAACCTGAAGCCCTGTTATGAGCGACCGAAATTGAGCCATCGACGAATTAGAGACCCTCGTGCTCCCGCTTTGCTGCGGGAGGGGCCTTTTGCTCTGACTTGGCTTGCAGCCTCTGCTGCTGCTGCTTCTGCTGCTCCCCCAGGGGGAGACTGGGAAGCCAGTGTTGACCTCCACTGATGCTGCTGCTGCTGTTGATCCGGTTGTTCAACCAATTCAGAGCCTCTCAACCCTGGTGCTGCCAGCTTGTCCTGCTGCCGTTGCTGCTGCTTTCCCCGCGCGCTACTGCTGCTGACTTCGTCGCCCTCGTCCTCCCCATCGCTGGCTAGGTCATCTTGCTCCCTCTCCCTGTCCTCTGCAAGTGCCCAGAGCGCCGCAGCCTGTTGCACTCTGGAAGCAGGGAAGAAGTTGCAAGGGCAGGGAGGGAGCGGAGCAAGGTAGAATGGGCTCTCTGAGGTTTGCTGCAGCCTCGGAGATGCGTATGGTCGAATGCATGCACACATGCATGCGCATCCATGCGTGCGCGCGCGCGCGCGCACACACACACACACACACACACGCACACACACACACACACACACACACACACACACACACTCACACGCATACACTCACTCAATCACTCTCACGCACAAGCACGGAAGCACGCACTCACTCACTCACACACATTCACCCACGCCCCCTTCCCCAATCGAATCCTTCGTATCCCACCATCTCACCTCCCCCTCAACCCCCCCCTCCTTCTTCCCCCCCGTTACTCCCCCCCGCCCTCACCTCTCCCGCACGGCCTCCAGGTCCGAGTAGTCCAGCGACGCGCGTCTGCCGGACCCCGACATGGACTTGCGCGCCTTCGCGGGCACCGACAGATCGAACTCCCCGCTTTCCGCCCTTCTCGCCGTTCCCCTGCTCGCTCCGCGCCCGAAACCTCCGCCATTGCCACCACCGCCTGTCCGCGCGCTTGCGGCGGCATCGAGCGGCGCGTCTGCTACCGCCACAACAGCGCTCATGGTAGATTCTTGCGCGGAGGAGGCGGAGGAGGACGGCGCAGGGGCTTCCGCGACGGAGAACAGCGCGCCTGGAGGCCTCAGCGCCGCTGATCCCGACCCGGCAGTCGTTAGACTGCTGCCCATTTGGCGAACTGACGGTAAACCGTCAACCTTAACGGCCCCCTCGACAGTATAGTCGTCAAGTTCGACTTGACTGCCATTACCCCTGGCGCCACCGCCAGAGGTGGACACCGCAGAGGCCCCTGCAGCAGCCGCAGCGGCGGCGGACACAGCGGCGGCGGCTGCTACGGCGGCAGCACCCCCGCCGCCAATTGCGATCCCCTTTTCTGCGGCAAGCCCCGCCGATGTAACGGCGCTGCACGAGAACCGCCTGTCTGAAGCGCCGCCGCTCCGCAAGGCGGACGCCGCCCCGGCGCCGCAATTGCTACTACCAGCAGTACTACCACTGCCGTCGGGCCGCAGATCCGCTATAGGGCCCTCCGTTGACTCAACGGCGGCACAACTATCATCATCAAAATTCCGATCGGCGCTCGCCGCAGCGGTCGACGATGCGGTGGCGGCGACAGCTGGAGAGCCGCCGCCGCGCTTCGGCTTGGCGTAGTAGGGCGATGCTAGCCAGTCGTCGCCATCGGCGGATTGGCCGTCCGATGGATTCATGAAAGACAGTGGCGTGGCCGCGCCGTCGCCGTCCGATGTCCCCGGGCCGGACGGTCGGACGATCGGAAGATCAGCGAGGAGCTCCTGCCGAAGAAAATGATACTGGGGTTTGGTGAAAACATGAACGGAGAGGAGAAAGGTCGTGGACTCATCAGAACTAACAACTCGAAAGCTCGCTGTGCATATAGCGGGCCTCGACGTGCTCCGGCTCCGACGGCTAGGGCGAGGGAGGTCGAGGCGAGACTCGAGAGAGAGACCCACCACCAACCCAAACCGAATGGGGGGACGGGACGGGATGCGATCGCAGTGGGGACTGTCTACTTGGACCGTTCGTTATGGTTTCCACCAATCAAGGAACGCTAGCGGCCATCCTTTCAGCTGCAGGTTTGGGGGAGCGTAGGATCCTGTGTGATGATGTGCTTGCGGCGCGGAAAGGAAGATATTTGGTGAGCAAGACATTAGCAGACAGGGAGGAAACGACTCATCTAGACCCAAATCAAAAACAATCCGACAGAAAAGCATCCGAATATTTCGCGCCAATGAGAGGCGAGATTCTTGCGCATGCGCAGTCTACTGCTTCGGACTGACGTGTAGAGTTGTGTATTCGCGACAAAACTTTCCAGCAACATTTGTCGCGCTGCAATTCGGCAGAAAATGCCAAACTGGACCATGACATTTTGGGCAGCGTTTTGGGCAAATTAAAAATAAACCATAGGGGCCCTGCCATTCGAGATGGCATCAATCCTAAACTCGCGGCTCTTTTTCGAGTTTAGGGTTGATGCCACCCCGAGTCAGATGCTGGGCCCCTATGGGTTTATAGTTTTGTCAGCTGCGCAGCACTACTTGTGGCTGACATGTGTCAGGGTTGGGCGATTCTATAACAAATCGCTGATTCGAAAATTCGGGAGTACTTCTGTCGGAAACATTTACAAGTTTGTAGGGGATCGCTATCCCCTGGAGATTGCCCTACTACAAGTTTAGCCCTTACGGATTCAGAAAAACAAAATACTCATTAGGCTAAGGAATCGCGTAAAATTGTTTCCGTTTGTTGGACGGATTCGGAAAATAATCGCACCGTAAAAAGACGGAACCTTTGGAGAAATGACTCTTAATTAAGGGTACTTTTTATTTTAGCGAGAGGCCTGGTGGCAGATCTGGCGGGGCAGCGCAACCCAAGACAAGAAAAGCAACTACAAGGATCATGCATTTGTACTCTATGTCGATATTACGCATGTGATTCTCATTTTAGGCTTCATGCAGCCTAAAACTGCCTCTTATAGTACTGTCACATGCACCGCTTTTAAAAATAAAATCAAAATCCATTTTCCAACGTATTTGATAATTTATATCATTGTAATATAATATATTTTTAACATTTTGTCAGGAAAATTTGAATAATTCTAGATACTGCAGCATAACCGCGTATATTTTACAGTATTAATAACACATTATGGCTACAACACATTTTTACTTCATGGAGTTGAATGCCCCTATATGATTGAGTATCTGAACGGGGAAATGGGATTCCCCACAATGTCTAATAATAAGTGCAGATGTTGATTCTGTTGTGTCACGACTCACCACCATCAGGTGAGTCGTGAAGGGACGTTGGATGGACCTTCACCTGAAGGGTGTGTGGTGTGCTCTCGGTTCAAGGGTAAACATCCGGAATGTCAGGTACATTCTAGGTTTTTCTCGCTTAAATCCTGATTTTGAGGGTTTAGGGCTCACAAACCTCCTGACAGATTCCGAGCATTAATCCGGATTGCGCGAAAATTTCTCCTGGCCATCCGACTGGCATGGAAACTTACCCGTGCAGGAATTGCAACCCTACCCTTCCACCACCCCCCCCTCCCCCCTCAATCCTTCACAACCCTGACCAATTTTCCACGCAATCTGAAGATGCGATCCGTGGAACTTAATATCACTTAGCCAGGCTGCTCACTGTCCCTATAAGTTGTAAACATTTCTGTCGCGATTGACTAGAAAAGTTTCTAACTGGGTGGTGGTGAGGGACAGCAGCAGCAGCAAGTGCGTGTTCTGTATCCTTACCCATCGTTTCTTCCATCGATATCCTTCCTGCTTGTACTCGAAGTGCCCACAGGTTTCGCTGACATGTAGGGATTCCCAAAAAACACTCCGTATTTCAGATTGAAAGGTCAAGGTAGTCCTGAAATAACGAGAGATTTTCCAGGGAGCGCTGAATATTCAGGGTCGTTAGAGACGCGAATCCTGAGACCGCTGGGTCTTGGAAGATGAAGAAAAATTAGCCCTGGTGGTGTGCTGCTCCTGCGACGTGCAAAGGACATTGCTGGCGAATGGAAACACGAGCTGGAGCTCCGCATGTGGGGTGGAGGTTGTTTTTACGATGCGATTGTTTTTATGGAAGATGCAGGCTGCAGTAACTAAACACTCCCAGGTCAGCTCAGAGCATTTTCAGTTCCTGTATTCCTTCCGACATTGGCCAGTTTACGCGGTCAGCAAGTGAAAATCTTCGGCCTCGCTAAAGTTTCTTCCGCAGCCCAAGATACACTTTGAGAAATGGAAACTACCAGGTGGAGGCTGTTGGGGGGAATTGTCGCGGGGCGAAGTCCATCTGTCGCAAATATCGCGGAAGTGGGTTTGAACATTTGTTTTCTAGCTCGATAAAACATTCTGTGGGTCGCGGAGATTCCTGACGTCAGCTTGACTTTTCCGGCGTCGGTCTACTTTGAAAACCTCCTCAACTAGGCATCAACTTCCGCAACGACGGTGTACACCCAAACAGTTCCCTCCCAGTTTCCAGGCCTTCCTTTTCTGTGGCTTCGTGAAAGACTGCTCTATCCAGGTTCGTCTCAGCAGCCAGAAGTCCACCAGTTGTCACTTCCAACATTGATGGAGCTACCGTGGCTTCAGCACCAATGGCATCTCGTGTGGTCCCATGTGTTCACCTAACTGCCTTTCCAGATGGCAGGACTACACTGGTTACTTTATGTGACACGTTCCGAGTGGTACAGTAATTTCAGGGGTAAGTATTCGCAGGATGGGTACTATCAAAACATTGGCTGCGTTCTGCAGGCAAAAAAAGGAAAGTGCAGATTACATAAAAGTGCCTTCCGAAAGCGAGAGATTTTGCTTCGAATCGAGGGTCAGCCCGCAAATTTTCTCCCAAACCTGGCACAAGGTACCCGAACCTAGTTACATCGACATGCCTGCAGAACAGGTCCATCCACAGATGACATCTACGTCAGGGAAACACCCTCCTCGCTTCCCTCCCTGGCAAATCCGACGCAAACTTGACGCAATGCTGATGTTCGCTCAATCGCGGAGTTCACCTTGCGTGTGGCGTTACATCAACCGCCACCACTTTACCCCACCTCGCGAACTTGGGCCTGCCCTGCAAAAAAACAGCAGCTAAACTAACCCATCGCCAAAGAGAGTCGTATCGATGGCATCTCAACAAACCCTATGTTATTTTTTTGTCATTTTGCTCCGGAATATTTCTCAACTGCCTAGGTTTTTGTTGCGCAATTTTGAAATTCGCTCCTCTCTCCTTTCGCTTGCGCTTTCCACAATTTGGCCGCGTGGCTTCCAAGCGAGGTTGGGAAAGTGCACCTGATTTGGGTGGTAACAAGTGCTCTCGAAGTCGCTTGAGGAGCTTCCTCCATGTCGACGTCGACGTCAAATGCCTGCAGAACTCAACCATTTTGCGTCGAAGTCTGTATTAGAGCTACCTCATGCAACTTTTCGGTGTTTCTCATTCTCGTCATGTAAAGTATTGTTTCGTTTCATGTCTCCTGACAAAAAGTTGCGATACGTGTCCAATACCCGAATTCGGAGCGTTGTTATTGGGCAGAGACAAGAAAACAATAGTACCCATAGGGACCTACATTAACCCTAAACTCGCTTAAAGCCCATGTCCCAAGCTTCAAGGCGCGAGGTTTTTTGTTAACAATTTTGGAATGGGTCTGAATGGTTACCCTGCGTAATTTGAGAACAATAGACAAGTGGGGGGGGTGTTGGAGAAAGGAGGCGTCTAATTGGACGATGGGGAAAATCGTGTTTCGCTAACCCAGCACAAACTCCAACTGAGGGAAGAAACCTCATAGGGGAAAAAGCGGGGCTTGTAATTTGGGACTGCCTGAAAACCATTTTGTTCACAAAATGGAAACATGCGCAGCTTTTCCCACCAGCATTTCGCAATCAGACGCGCTAGTCTAGTCCTGTTTACTCATACTCGTCGGTCTAGCCTTCTAGCTCAAGGGACCCAACTTCCCGCCGTCTCAATCATCTCGCTTCGCGCAGCATATATAGCGCCCCACTGCTCGCCGCAACCCTTATCGCGAGTGCACCCACGCGTCATGCGAACCGTTTCCCACGCCCACTGCACCTCCAAGCTTCCTGCCGCTGCCCATTACCCACTTTACGCCCCCCCCGGAGCTAGTTGGCTGCAAAGAGTGACCCGCTTCCAGCTGTTTCCCGCTTCACGCAGCCCGTGCAAACCGCAACGACTCGCCCACCTTCCTTTGCCGCCATGTCGCTGCTACCCGCAGCGACTCGCTCCCCAGAGCCCGCTGTGCGGCCCTTCCTCGCTTCCCGCTGCCTTTCCGATTCCCGGTTCCTGCAAGCTTCGCGCTTGCGGAATATTCGGCGCCGTTCGATAGGCGCGGGGACAGAAAGGAGAGGGGCAACGAATAGAGGCGAGAGAGGGGGGTGGATAGGAGGTGCGTGAGGAGGGAGGAATAGAGGCGAGAGATCAGGGAGTAAGTGTGGCGAAATAGCAGGGAAATTGAGAGGCGACATAGCAGGGGATAAGAGAGGCGAGAGAGAAGGGAACAAGAGAGGCGAGAGACGGGTGTGGGGGGGGGGAGAGAGAGATCAGGGAGAAAGAGAGGTGAGAGAGGGGGGAGGAAGAGAGGTGAGAGAGGGGGGAGGAAGAGAAGAGAGAGGGGGGAGGAAGAGAGGGGAGAGATGAGGGAGGAAGAGAGGCAAGAGAGGGGGGAGGAAGAGAGGGGAGAGAGGGGGGAGGAAGAGAGGCAAGAGAGGGGGGAGGAAGAGAGGGGAGAGAGGGGGGAGGAAGAGAAGCGAGAGAGGGGGGAGGAAGAGAGGGGAGAGAGGAGGGAGGAAGAGAGGAGAGAGAAGAGGGAGTGCGATAGGCAAGAAACCAGGGAGGTAGAGAGGCGAGAGTCGAAGGGGGGAAGAGACCAGAGAGAGCTGGCGGGAAGAGAGGCGAGAGAGTAGGGAGAACGAGAGGAGAGAGAG